GATGCAGCCCCTCCTCGGCCTTCGGGGTTCCAGGACAGAGCCCCAGTGCAAGATTCTGGTATTTTGGATTCTGGTAGACCAGGCTGGTATCACTACCTTGCCACAGATAGGGAAATTAAGACTTGGCAAGTCTCAGCTCTTTGCCCAAGGCCTGGTGAGTTCACTAAGGGGCACAGCCAAGAGGAGGCCTGGCAGTGGTGTCTCCCATCCCCCCTCTTACAGATGCAGCCAGAGAAGGACCCAGAGGCCCTGGTTCAGAGAACAGGCTCCTTAGAGGGCAAATGCATGTGACTTGGCTTGACCATCACTAACTAGCTGTGTGGCTTTGGGCCAGTGACTCTGCCTTTCTGAGGTTCACTTTCCTTAGCTCTAGTATGAGGATGGTGACACCTCAGGGTTCAGTGGCAAGAGGAAGTGAGCTGGGGACTATGAGGCTTGTGGCTGGGCAAGTCGCTGTGGTCTTTAAGCTTAGCTGTTCATTGCCTGCTGAGGCAACGCTCCTTGATGGCATCTTTGGCCCCCCTCCCCGCTTTGAGGGAAGGCAGGGCATGTGACATCAGGCCCCTTGAGAGCTTCCAGCCCAAAATAACCCTCTCTTTAGATCAACCCCATTCCATTACAGCTGCTTCTGCCTCCTGCTGTCCCCTGCTGAGCTGACATGGCTCCTGCCATGTCATATAGTCACACTGCTTATCCCTAAACTGGTTCAGCTGACACTCCCCAGGAGGCAGGATTTTCCATGAGCAAATGGAGAGCCTGCAGGTGGCAGCTTTGACACAGTGGTAGCTCAGAGAGGGCACAGCAAAGTAAACATCCTACGCTTGGCAACAAAGTAGACTGGGATCAGATCACAGCACTCACTGTGTGTTCTGTGCCTCAGTTTCCTCATTGCAAGATAGTCTGCTAGCAACTGACCAGGTTGGTTGAGAGGATTCAAGTGGACAGTACAAACAAGATCTTTCTGGAGCCTAGATGATAAAATCACACCTATCTATCTGCCTCCCTGCCCAGGCCTCCCAGTGACCCTGGAGGAAAATGTCTTTACCTGTAATTGTTATGAAGAAACAGGATCTGAGTTCTGTTCTGTCCCCCGGATTTACCAGTGTTTGTCCTTCCTCTCCCCCACCTCGTGCCCCCCACCCGGGCTCCCCCAACACACATATCAAACCATCTCTGAGCCTGCTTGACCCTGTAGGAGTCACAGACTCCCCAGCAGGTATCCCGTCACACACTCATTCACTCACTAAATCCTTCATTTACTCACTCCTTAATTCATTCATTCACTCACTCACTCATTCACTCACTCCTTCATTCATTTACTCACTCACTCATTCATTCACTCACTCACTCCTTAATTCATTCACTCACTCACTCACTCATTCACTCACTCACTCCTTAATTCATTCATTCACTCACTCACTCATTCACTCACTCACTCCTTCATTCATTTACTCACTCACTCATTTATTCAATGAGTGTATATGGGGCTCCTTCTCAGGCCCAGACAGCAGTGAGACCCTGGGGACACAGAGACAAACCAGGCAGAACCGTGTCCCCAAGCATCTTTGGTTTTAAGTAGGAGTCAGGCTAGTGACCAGGCAATGAAATTGTGCCTTGAGGCGTCACCGTTAGCTGTCAGCCACGTATGCACTGTGTCAGCAGTGTAGCAGGGGAAAAAACCACCGGACCCTGAGTACCCAAAGAGGGAAAGGTGGGGTCTTCTTCCTCGTGCTGGCTCACTGTCAAACACCCTCTTGTCCCCTTCCTTGACAGTCAAAAGGCAGACGGAAAGAATGTGCTTTTCTGAAAGACAGATCTTAAATTTTTTCAGGGGGTTTGAGACAGGGTATTTCTTTGTAGCTCAGGCTGGTCTCAAACTCATGATCCTCCTGCCTCACCCTCCTGAGTTCTGGGATTACAGGTATGCACCACCATGCCAGGTAGAAGAAAAGATCTTGTCTGACCCTCACCCCCATTTACTTATGGAGAAATTGAGGTCTGCCCACACAAAGCTCTGCTGGAGTCAGTACACAGATTCCAAGCTCTCTTCTTCTGCTTGTCTTTCTGCTTCTGATTGGATAGAAGGAAACCACTGCTCCTCCCCACAGCTGTGGTCTGAGCCTCGACCTAAGAAGCTCTCACCTCTGGACCACCTGATGGTCCCTGCTTGCACATCAGTACCAATGGCTGTGCTCCCCACCCCACCCCCCCACACACATAGGCCATGCCCTCGAACACCTGGTGAATGGAATCAGAGCTCAGAGCTTCCACCAGATCGGAGGGAGTCTTGCTGAGCTGGAAGCAAGGAGGAGCGCCCAGAGCCCATGCTCTGCTCTGCCACTAAAGCCCCCCAACTTTGTTTAGAGCTTGGCTTGCCAAGCCCTGACCGAAAGCATCACTCTAATAATAAGTGTCAGAGAAACCTCCAGCCTCTTTGCCTTTGCACCTGCTGATCCTTTTGTCTGGGATGCCTGTCCTCACCGAGTGGACTGCATTCGTTCACTTTGTCACTCACTCAACAAGTGTCTACTGGGTACTCGCTACATGCCAGACAGAGAGCGTGCTTTGGGTACACTGAGAACTCACAGATTAGTAGGGAGCAGGAGCATATAACTTAACACACAATGTGTTATGCCAACAAAGACAGGCTCTATAAAAGACAAGAGAGACTCAGAGAGTGGGGTCTAATTTCATGGGCTGGTGGAACATGGCCTAGGGAAGACCACTCAGTGCAGAGTGAGAGGAAGAATGTTCCCAGCAGAGGAAAGAGCTGTGCAAAGACGCTGGGGTAAGAACTAATTTGAGGAGTGAAAGGAAGGTCAGTCCTATATGACTGGAGTGTAGAGGTGGAGGAGGAGTCAGCTGGTGCTAAGAGGCAGAAGACGAAGTTCTGGAAGTCAGGGTGACCTGAGCTGACAGAAGGAATCAACAACCTTCTCAGTAGAGGAGTCACCTCCTCCAGGAAGCTTTCCTGGACTCCAGGTGTGGTATTAGTTGACGTCCCCTGTCAGAGCACTGGCATCTCTCCCAGACTAACTTGAGAATGCCATGAAGGAAACAGCAAGGCTTGGCTTACTCCCGCACCCCAGAGCTCAGCCCAGGACCTGAAAGTACTTGGATGGATAAATGTAGAACCAGGGCCCAGACAGGGGGAAGGACTTGCCTCCTTTGCTGCCCTGGCCCAGGTTGGTCCCTTCACTTTGCTGCTGAGGTTGGCTGGGTGGGAGGCCTGGGCTGGAGGAGGCCAGAGCCCTTTCTAGCTGGGCGTGGAACACCCCACCCCCCACTCCCCCGGGAGGGGAGTAGAGCCTGGGCTCTAGTCCTATCCTGCCTGCACTTTTCCTATTGCCTCCTCTGTCTCCTTGCCTTTTTCTTGGATCCCAGGCATCTCTCTGCCTGATCAGTGTACAAGAGAACAGCAGCAGGCTCCCTGATAGGCCAAGACAAGGGGCTGATTGTACCCTAGGCACCATCAGTTTCTAGCCCTGCCCTGCCCAGAGGCTGATATTAGCAAATGTTGACATGAGTCGGTGCTGTGGCCTCCTGAGACTTCCTGAATGGGTGATGGAACGCTGAGGCATCTGAGCTTTGCTGAGCCATGGCTCCCCTGCCCCCTCTCCCCCACGAGACCCCTGGGACCAGGGTCTGTACCCTCCACAGACAGCATCCACGCAGGCCATTTCTGTCCCCCTGCCAAGTTTCAGGTGGGCAGCTCTGGAGACAGGCAGCCTGTCCCACACCCCAGACTGTCCACCCCCAGTCTCCCCTGAGGAATGAATCCCTGGGAATCCAGTCTCCATCATTTGTCTCCCATCCTAGGATGGGAGCTCTTCCAGGGCAGAGGTTTTTTCTCTTTCTCTCTCTCAATCTCTCTCTCTCTCTGTCTCTGTCTCTCTCTCTCTCTCTCTCTCTCTCTCTCTCTTTCTCCCTCTGCCTCTCCTGCCTCAGTCTCTCTAAGTGCCAACTCCAAGCTCAGCACCCTGAGGTCACTCGGGGTGCCATGACCTGCTGCCTGACTGCCCAAAGATATTAGGTCCTTGGCAGGATCTAGCCACATTCCCTTGGGGGCCATAGCTCCAAAAGTGGCAAATCTGTCTCCCTAGAGGAAGCGGGGCTGCTGTAGGAGGAAGGGAATTTGGCCTTGACTCTGTGCCAGGCAGCCAGGCCTGGCTGGAGCAGCGGAGTCCAGAGGGAGAAAGGTTGGGTTGGTCTCAGGAAGACCTGAACCCCCAAAATGCTGTCCTTCTACCACTCATCTCTGAGACTAACAGGGCCTTTTCCCCATGAGCCCCCAAACCTGCCATATCCATACCAGCCTCAGTCCCTTGGCCACACTCCTGCCCCCTGCTTCCCTGTTGCCCAGAGACAGGCACAGTGTGCCCAGCATCCTGGTGAAACAGGCAGCAGCTTGGCTAGTTGAGCAGTCGAGGCGCTTGGTTACCTGCATCCCCGCAGTCCCAGGCCTGCAAAAATCTCCATGGAGGAACCCTTTCTGTCCCTACCCTGGACACTGCCTGGGCTCTGTCCCAAGAAACTTTCTCCGGCCCAGGGCTTCTAGCTGCCTGGGAGGCTGGGCGGGGTAATTCCCTGGAGGCAGCCTCCAGCTGGTGCCCTGGGGAGCACTGTGCTCTGCACCCTGGCTTTTAATCACAAGGTAGTTCCCGCGGTCTGCTCCATAATTGAATTCTTCACAGCAGCATGCAGGCCTGGGGGACAGGGAGTGAGACAGACAAGTAGGGGCTGCAAACTTCCTTCCTTTCCTTCTCAGCCAAGAGCAAAACATAAGCAGCCAAGAAACTCTCTCCCTTCCCTGGACCTGGCCTATGCTGAGTCTGAAGGGGACCCTGCAAACCCTGTGCCCCATGTCCCAGGGCGCCCATGCCCGCCCAAAGTCCGAAGACCAGACAGTGCTTGGCTGTCTTCCGGCCCCCCCCCCCCACTTCAACTTGGATTCCTGAAGCAGAGAAAAGTCTGTTGAAATCCCCAACTCTGCTGCTTACCGTAGGAGTCGCCTCCGTCCAGGAGGGAGTCTGGCTCCATGGTGTGTGGGCCCCAGGCCCCTGGCCCCACCTGATTTATGAACCGAGGCCGTCTCCATGAGCGCCTGGGTTTCTCCTTTTGTATTCCATCTGGCGGCTTTTCCAACTAGATGACTGGGTATTCCTGCAAGCAGGCCTCTTTCCAGCCCTCGCCTTCATACAGTACATTTAAAGTAGCAGTAACCTCTTTTTCCTCCCCCCGCAGCCCGGCTGGAAACATTAGAAGGGACGAGGCAGCAAGATGTCTAAAATAGGAAGACGCCAGGGATGCTTGGCCTGGCTGCCCGCAATGCTGGCTGCGGGGATCTGGCCCGGTTGTGCAGATGGAAAAGCTAAGAGGTAAGGCAGAGACCAGGCTTAACATCTGGAAGCCGGCTCTGGGGCCCCAGGGGCCTGTGGGGGGTGGGAGGGTAGACTGACCCACTCTTGGGAGGGGATGGGGGTCCGCCTTATTCACCAGCCAGCACCCAAGCCCCAGGGGCTTCTCCCAGGCTCTGCTGGAACCTCCCACTCAAATCTGTTCCCAGACATTTCCTGCAGTGTGGAGGATGCAGAAATTGACTCATCCATCCATTCAGTTAGTCACTAAATTTTTTTTGTTTGAGCGTTTAGTCCTCAACAGACACGGAGCCTCCTGCTGGTCACTGTGTCTGTTCTTTGCATGAGGTAAACAGCTCACAGGTAAACTGGTCATCACGATGCAAGTGCCTCAGGAGCACCAAGGGGGGCTCATCCCAACGGAAGATGTGGTCTGGGAAGGCTTCCTGGAAGAATGGGCATGTAAGCCAGGGCCTAAAGGATGCTTAGGAGTTAGCCAGGTAAAGAAGGAGGAGCAATTGTGGGTGCAGTAGCTAGAGTAAATGAGGCATTCAGTGTCTTCCCACGTGAACCCAAGTGGTTGAGGCCCAGACAATAAGGAGAAAAGAGTGGGTCTGGCCAGGCCTGTGGAGATGATCCCGGCCCTGCTCTGAGGTTGGGTCATGGAAGTGACATGATCCCACCTGTCCTTGAATCCCAGCTGTGTAAAAAGGAGTCGGCAGCGTGTCAGGACTGGACGAGTATCTATGACCATAACAAGACAGCCACAGAGCTGGGTGTGGTGGCATACTCCTATAATCCCAGCACTCAGGAGGCTGAGGTGGGAGAATCTTGAGTTTGAGGCCAGCCAGGCTGTACAGCAAGACACTATCTTCATAATACAAAACAACCATGGTTACACTGAACACTGGGGACCAGTCATTAAGCACCTCTCACAGACCAGAGGTAACACCTTTTGGAGTACTTGCCTCCCAGTGGTTCCTTCTGGTAGAAACTGTCATTCCATGGCCCAGATGAAGACAATGCCATTTAAACAGGTGACAGGAGGGTCGGTCTGTGAATGACCTCCAGGGCAGAACTGGCCCCTGAGAAGTCCCAGCCTTGGTGCTGGAGGATTGGGGAGGGCAGGAGGACAGAGATGCAGTAATTCATTCTGCATTGTCCTGTCCTACAAGCCCAATCAGAATATGGGTCACTATCACAGGCTCACGGGAGAGAGAGAGCTTCTTTTGAGCCCAATCAGGGGAGGCTGCCTGGGTGAGGAGGCATCTGACCTGACAAGAGAGAAGAGCAGAGTTTGGATGGGCTACACAGGGGAAAGGTAAAGCCTCCAGGCAGGCAGAGGGACAGCAGGAGTTTGAGACAGGAAGGTAGCCCGTAGGGAGTGGCTGCAGAAGGTCAGGGCTGTGGGCTGCTCCCAGCCAGAGCATGCAGGGGCTGGAGCACCAGCTTGGGGCGTGGCCTGGCTCCAGGGGCACACACGGCCCCGAGGCATCTGTCCAGAGGATGACCTCCTTTCCAGTGCACGCCCGGATGTTCCTGCGAGCACCCTTCGCCAGCCTTCCATATGTGCTGCACTTTGTACCGGAGAAGCCTGCGCTGCCCGCACCTCATTGCTGGAACACCGGGCCTCAGTGACCTGCTTTTGGGAGACATGTCTCTGGTATAGGGGTAGAGGGGACTTCAAGAGGAGAGGGACAGATGACAGGGACATTGGCAGAAGGGCCCAAGCAAGGCGCAGCAGGGTGAGCAGTCCACACAGGATTCCTCCCAGCTGCCTGCTGCTGTCCAGCTGCTCCCAGAGAGCCAGCGGTTGCTGACGTGGTTGGCCTCGCCACAGGGAAGCTCCTCCTGTCCCTTCACCCTTCCTCTCCACCTTTGATGACAGAATCCCAGCTCTCAATCTTCCGCTGCCTTAATTACAGGGAAGCCAGGCCCTAGGCAGGCCAATGGTAAGCACCAGGCTCCCTGGCTCCCCTAATCAGTGGGTGTGCTGTGTGGGGGAGGGGGAGGCCCAGGAGTGGGGAATCTGGTCATGGGCCTCCCTGGGCCCCCGCCAATGGACACATCCAGATCCAGCACTCTTGCCAGCTCACTAGGACTCTGGAGATCATGGGGGACCTAGGGGCCCCTTTGGGCATAGGCACATGAGGTCTCTACCTAGATAGCATGGTATTAAGAGAATGGGGTTATGACAGAGTGTGGTGGCTCACATTTGTAATCCAGCACCTGGGAGGCTGAGACAGGAGGATGGAGAGTTCAAGGCCACCTGGGATACATAGCAAGACCCTGTCTCTAAATAAATAAATAAATAAAATAAAAGGATTCATATCCAGGCTCTGCCATGGACTAGTGAGGTGATGCTGGGTGAGTGACTCAATCCCAACAGGGCCATTGGGTGAGAAAATTAAAGGGGGTAACACACCTCAAAGTCTTAGGACACTCAGAAAAAGGGGGTGCTCATCCTATATAAACTCTGGTCCTCTCCACAGCCTGCTAAGGGAGGGAGGGACAACATGGGCCCATTTTACATTTGAGGAGGCAGAGAGATGGAAAAGCATCTCACAGTGGGGCTCAGATGCACCCCTCACTCACAGGCCTGGCCCCCAGCCCAGGGTTAAGAGCAGGAAGTGGGTCTTGGTGTGAGGATGACCTGGGCCCCCATCCCGGCTATGCATGTGACCTGTAGTGAGGTCTGCCAGCTCTGGGCCTCACTTTCTTCACCAGTGGGGAAACAGAGTTGGGTTAACCTGGTGTCCTTCTCATCTGATTCCCTCGTTTTGTGAATCACCTATGTTTATTTAGGCAATCAGATCTCCTCCCCTCCCCGATCCGTTTATAATAAATGTGTGTTGCCACCAGGCACCAGCCTCCATTTCCTTCCTTTGTGACATGTCAGCACAATCAAACCCATCTCCTTCTGCTAATCCACCCTTTGGCAATGCCCTAGCTGGTTTGAGCCAGCTCCCCTCCTGATGGACGCCTAGGTTGTTGCCAGTTGTTCATGAGCACAAGCAACGCTGCGGTGAGTATGCTGACAAACCTACCCCTGTGCCCATCTGTGTAATGGTCCCTGCGGAGGTAAAACCGTACATACCAAGTTGCTGGATCAAAAGATGCCTAAGTGCATTCCCAGCATGGCAGCAAAAGGCCTTCAAGACCCACCTGGTTCTTTTATTCATTCTACCAACAGTTAACAGTGCCAATTCTGTGCGTGCCCTGGTGAGGGCCTGGGATGGCTGCTCTCCCTTACGCTTGTCATTTAAATTCTAGCTGGAGGAAGAAGAGGAGATGCAGGAGAGGGGTGCATGGAGAGCATTAAATCAGAGCCGGGAGGAGTAACTTTTGAGCTATGACTTGACCAGCAGGGTGGAGGCAACTGTGCAAAGTCCAGGGGACAAACATCCCACAGTGGGCAGTGCTACGCTATTGCAGGACTGAGTGGGAATAAACTTGGCAGGCGGGAGGGTCAGAACAGAAGGCAGCATGACTGGGGTGTGGACAGTGGTAGAGCACTGGCCCAAGAGAAGAGAGAAAGGTTGCAGAGGCTACATCAAGGAAAGCCTTGTGAGCCAGGGGAGTACGGGAGCCAAGGCAGGTGGAAGCAGGGGAGTGACCAAGGAGCTCCCTGGCTATAATGTGGAAAGTAGCCAAAGGAGGGAGGCCAGGTAGGCTACAGCTGTGGTCCTTTGAGGTGGATGACGCTGGGACCTCCTGCGGGGGTTGGTCATAGAGGTAGAAAAAAGCACACGAATTCAGGAGCCATGTGGGGACCTTGGGTACAGTTGAATGGTCACAGGGAAGAAGGAGAGAGGTGTCATCCCGGAGGCTTTTGGCCTGGGCAGCCAGACTGCTAGATGGAGCTGAGTATGGGTGTGTGTGGGGCGGGAGGGGCAGATAGGAAGGAGAATGATGGAGGCCGGGCCACCGGAAATGTGCTGTGGTTGCTTGTGTGAAGTTTGAGAAATGTACATAGGCATGAGATGTTAAGGAACTCATGCTTGCTTTGGTGTCAGAGTGCAGTGCAGTGGGGAGGATGGCTTGACACTCTGCGAGACACAGCTCCCCACACAGCCTGATGCTGCACGGCCTGCTACAGTCACAGGGACCTGTCACTCCCAATGCAGAAAGGAGCTAAGCAGTCACCGATGGCAGCTGGCCCTAAGCAGGGGAGCATGGGGGAGTTGAGGGGGGCGGGCAAGAGCCTACAGCAGGTGTGGGGGAGAGAGAAAGGCAAGTTAGTTCCTGGTGGTCATTTGCTCATGGCCTCCTCCCTGCCAGGAAGGACCCTGCCAGCAGGCCAGAGTGGGGAGACCAAGTCCCAGGCAGGGCCAACAAGCAGGGGGAGGCAGATATCTAGAGGAAAACTTGAACTTCAGAGATGTGAAAGTCAGATAGAGGGTAAGGACAGGTTAAAGCAGGTTGTGAGGGGGGAGTCAGCTCAGGAGAATCAAGGAAGCCTTTGTAGAGGAGGGGCCAGCAGAGTTGGATTCTGAGGGATGAAAAGGAGTTCATCAAGCAGCCTGGAGGAGGACAGGCATATACTACTATTGCATATACCAAGCATGGATACCTCCCTCAGCCTGGGCTTTTGAGTTATTTTCCTGCCCTGGGTTCTGACTTTCTAGCTAAATCTTCTATGGAGCCATAGGAAACTGGATGGGGACTGACCCCAGCCAGGTGCTCTCTCCTTACCCACCACTCTCTCTAGGCAACAGACAGATGTGGGCTGGGTTCTCAGCTCTCGGCCTCCAGGCTGGGTTTCTCCCAGTGGGGTCGGGTGGCAGTGCTTCCGAGTCTAGGATCTGACATCCCAGCTGCCACTTACTTGCTGGGTGACCTGGGCAT